CCGGCCTGCGGTCAAGCAGCAGCTCTGAGCTGCCGCTCCTCATGACGAAGTAGAAAGTTCTTGGCTAATAATCATTGCTCCGGGGTAATAGTTGGTTGGGGTATCATATTATTATTATTATCATATATGGTTGTTCTAGGATTTGATGGGTAGATGCAAAGTGAACTAGTCATGGTGTTGGTGTAAAGTGTAGTGGATGCTACAGTTCGCCAAAATTTGTTTTTAACTCTCGAAGATACATTTTGGACAATTATGCAAGTACTTACTTGAGTTTTGAAACAAACACAAAACTAATACATTGCATTTTAGATCAAATCAGTCACAATTCAATTTCAAAACAACTAAGAGTTTTTAGGACAACTAACACGTTCCACACACTAGGTCGAACAAGTACCAAGTTAATTTTAGGGTTGCTAAGGTTTTCTTGCACTTCTCAGTACAACCAGGATCTATTTTAGGTCAAACTAGTACCAGGTTTAATTTAGGCCCACTGATATTAAGGATTTTTTTAGTACAACTGAAAAGTTCCACTTTAGGTCTACCTTATACCTGGTTCAAATTTAAGGCCTGCCAATATTTATTTTTTGAACTACTAGCAAATTTTTTGTTTGTTTGATTTTAATTTTAAATCTTTCAATATTTATTAAGGGCCTTTCTGTCCTTTTTTTTGGATTTATTATACAGATTTTTTTGGTTTTATTGAAGGTTCTTGGACACCCACTTTAGGTCAAACTTGTACCTGGTACAAATTTAAGGCCTGTCAATATTTATTAAGGTTTTTTGAACTTCTAGCAGATTTTTTGTTTGTTTGATTTCAATTTTAAGCCAGTCATTATTTATTTAAAGCCTTTCTGAATTCTGGTAAATTTTTTTTGGTTTTATTGAAGGTTTCTTAGACTTTAGCAGATTTTTCTATTTGATTTTAATTTTAGGTCTATCAATATTCATTAAGGGCCTTGTTGTTTTTAGCCAGATTTTTTTGCTTTTATTGAAGGTTTCGTGGACTTTTAGCAGTTTTTTTTGGTTTGATTCTAATTTTAAGCCTGTCAATATTTATTAAGGGCCTTTTTGACTTGTGGCAGATTTTTTTGGTTTTATTAAGGATTTCTTGGACTTTTAGCAGGATTCTTGAATTGATTTAAATTTTAGGCCTATCAATATTTGTCAGGGGCTTTTTGGTTTTTGGCAATATTTTGCTATGGATTTAATTTTATTAAGTACTTTTTATATAAATCCTGTTAATATTTATTAAGGTTTTTGGAGTTCTAGCAGTTAATTCGGTTTGGTTTGAATTTAGTTTTCTTAATATTTATGAAGAGTTTTTTGGACTTCTAGCAGATTTTTCAGCTTGGTTTTAATTTTAGACCTATCAATATTCATTAGAGTTTTTTTTTGGACTAGCAGTTTTTTAATTTGGTTTTAATTTAGGCCTATCAAAAACTTTTTTGGACTCACCATTCCTTTTACACAATAATGTTCAGATAATGAATATATTGTACAAGTATTAATTGTATACAAAATAGACCAAAAATTAATAAAATCGTTCGGTTCTATTAACACACCTCATTTTGAAGTACTCGTTTATTGTCTCTAATGACACTCTCTACAAAATTCATCTTTATGTGTCGCTATTTAAAAGTTTTTTGGACTTTTCAACACAACTAACACATTTCACTTTAGGTCAAACTAGTACCAGGTTAAACTTAGTCCTAGCAAAATTTATTTAGGGCTTTTTGGACTTTCAAGGTAAAAAATTATTAAGAGTTTTTTGGACTTTTTAACACAACTGACACATTTCACTTTAGGTTAAACTTGTACCAGGTTATTCTTAGGCCTGGGAACATTTTTTAGGGTTTCTTGCACTTTCAACAGTTTTTTTACACAAAAAGTTTTGATAATGGAAATATTATAAATAGGTGTTGATTTAGTACCAAGTTAAGGGCCTTTTTTCTTGAGTTTTTTTCGACTTTTTAACACAACTAACACTTTCCACTTTAGGTCAAACTAGTACCAGGTTAAGGGTCATTTTGTCTTTAGGCCGATTTTTTTTGGCTTTATTAAGGGTTTCTTAGACTTTTATCAGATTTTTCGGATTGATTCAAATTTTAGACCTGTCAATATTTATTTAGGGCCTCTTGCACTTTTAGCAGATTGTTTATACAAAATTTGTATGCAAAATAGACCGAAAAATAAAAATTAAGGGTTTCTGCGATTTCCCTGTATAATTTGAAATAGATCCAAAAAATGATAATTAAGGGCTTCTTGGACTTTCCAGGTTAATTTTAGGCCTGTCAGTATTTTTTAAAGGTTTCTTGAACTCCTAGCTGGTTGTTT